GAGAGAAGTGCTCTGCCTGAGAGTACTGGCTTCTGCAGTATGGGGATTTACTTAGCACAGGGATCCTGGTGGCTGTTCCTTCAGTTCTTTCCTCAGAGCCACCAACCCCAGACTCTCTTCAAGGGTCTCTAGTCCACTCTGCCCTTCCTCTGCTGAAGCCCAAGGTAAGTGGTTGTAAATGAAATTTTGTGCATTGGCCCTTTAAGAGGCTCTGTATCTCCGGCTATAACTCCCTGGCGGACAGAAACTTTGTTGCTCTTCACAGTTGGATGTTATCTGGGTTCCTTTCCTGGCTCTGTTGCTCTAGGTTGTGGAGCCCAATTTGAGGGGTAGGTGCCACACTTCTCAGGGGGAATCCCCAGCTGCCGAATATCCTCCCAGCACTTCAGCTGCCACCCATGGGAACCCAGCCAGCTGTCTCATGCCTCCTTCCCAGTACTCCCTCCCAGTCACATTGTGGTGAAGTGGGTTTTTTTTTGGGGGGGGGGGTGGGTGGAGGCCTATCTTTGATTGTAAGGCCTCTTTCCAGCTAGTGTTTAGTTGGTTATTCAGGATGGTATCTCTACAATTTGGTTGCAATTCAAGATTGGTCCTGGGAAGAGGTTAGTGTAGCTTCCATTTACTCCTCTGCTATGATGGGTCTCTTGTATAAGGTTACTTTTAGAAAAGTAACTTTAGGAAATAGAGATATATACTAAATGGATTCTTAAAGTAGAAAGAGCTAGACAGCTAGTGTTTGTGCAAAATGCCTTTAAATAAATATATCAAGAAAGAAGAAAGGCAGCAATAGAACCTAAAATAGAGGTCTATATGAAAATAACCCACATCTTACAGCAAATTTCCCAGGAAACCTTTTGTACAGTACACTGCCCAGGATGCTAGTTGGCTACATCAGACTTGTAAGAATCCAGTTTACTATCTATAGTAGCAATCCAGGAAGCTAAACAATAATTTCTGTAACAGTTGGCCAAAAATGGTCAGGACTTGTTTAATGACTAAGAGCCTCATTAACTTTTGTCTCCACTTTCAACTTAGAACTGTTACAGAACAACAAGGGATGGGGGGACCTGGGACGATATACTATTACTGAAAGAAAACCCCAGGTTCATTATGTCTGTTGCCTATAGGAAAGATGTCTCTCAATGTCAGAGATTCATGAAAAGGAATGGAAATGTTTATTTAATGCTATACAAACTTAAAGTACTGACCTAATGTCTTCATCAAAATCCTAAAGTCCCTTAAAACACCCACAAACACACACAGTCCTTCCTTCCCCCCTTTGCCCAGTCTGGGGTACTGTATCTCAGGAAAAGAAATAGAAGTCCGTGGCTCAGGCAACCCCCAGTTCTTCACAGTAATCCGTCTCAGCTGGTAGGCCTCCCTCAGTTCCCGGCACCATCAGCTGTGTCGCTGGGATCTCTGCTAAAGCCAGGTGGTGGTTTCCCCTTCTAAAGCTGCAGGGGTCCCCACTCAGCCAAAACCACGTGCTTCTCCCCACAAAGCTGCAGGGAGGGGTGTCGCCGCTCTGCCAAAGCCGAGTGGCGATTCTCTGCTAAAGCTGCATGGTGATTCTCTCTCGGAGGGCTGCAGGAGTCCCCACTCTGCTAAAGACGCATGGTTCTCCCCTCAGTGGCTGCCGAGTCTGGGTTTAAATCCCCGTACCAGTCTTCCTCTGCAGCCCCATCTCTGATTCCTCCCACAATCAGTTACACCTGCCAGCACTTTCATATCTTTCCAGCTTTACTGGGCTGCCATCCTGAGTCTGGGTAGGTGTGGCCCCATGTCCAGGAGCCAATCATCTCCAAGCTCCCATGCAGGCCCTGTAACTAGGGGGGCCTGCCTCCCAGTTACATCTTGGTAGGGAAGTTACTTCCATTCCCCTGGCTCAGAGCATGGCCACAGCTATTTAACATATCTATGTAACCAGTCAAAGGTTATAGATATGTTAAATGACCATGCCAGAGGGTAGCTGGAAGGCTGTTGCTATGGGAAACAGCTCTCAATGGCCCTGCTCCATTTGTCCCTTCCCCCAACCCATACCTGTGGGGGGTGGGGGTGAGGACATCCTAAAATCTCCTGGACTCCATGAGTTCTGGACCCTATTCCAAATCTCTATTTGGGGTCCCCCCTCTTGGCTGCACCCTATAACAGAACCAGTCAGAAAGAGTCAATTTTGTATCCCTAACCAATCACATAGGATGCCCACTTCTAGCCTGCCCACCTAAGTTTCTCAGGACAACAGTCTCCAATCAGCGCACACCCAAAGCCTCCCCTTTCCTCCTATAAAGTTTTCTTACTCCTCTGTCTGCCTTTGAGTCTCTATCAAAATAGAAAGGATGGTGGCTGATGCCTTGGCTTTAGCAAGCCCTGAATACATAAATGCAGCTTTTCTTACTTGGTTTATTGGTCTTCAACCAAATATGTTTGGGTGATTCTAAAAAGAGAGTAATTTGTTTATTTGCCTGGCACTTTCAGATACTCTGCAATTTTTTTTTTAATCGATTGCTTAACAATTATCTTAGATAAATTCTGTTGTGTTTATTTTCTAAATAAGGAAGCAAAGTCATAAAGTCATTCAGAACATCACCTACCCCATCCGTGCTAGTGAATGGCCTACTTTTAAAAATTGAATTATTTTTTGATATCAAAGTCCAACAATTATTCTTAAGAAACATTCTATTAAAGTTCACTTTAAGATGTTCCTTTACCACATAAGTTGCCCACAAAACCTAAAGTTGAAGTAACTTATTTTCTCATTATAACATTAACATAATGTAGCTTTATGGAAATAAAGGGGGTAGAAGCATTTGCACATGTTAGGAATTACCATTAAAGTTATGTAGAGCCAGAATGAAAAAAAAATATGATAGCACCAATGACTAGTAAAGCCTTTTAATGCCTGAAAATAAAAGTGATATTTAAGCACAGTTCCTTTAACACCAGAAAAAGTAAAAATAATTCTATTCTACAGTTAACATTGTTTAAATAATGATGTAGAATAGGAAACAATGGCTAAAGGCCAAATGATTCCTATGTGGCTTCTATTTTGTCTCACTAATGCCATTTAGGGAACTCAAATCTTTGTTTAAAAATCCTTGCATGGAGCATAAATTAAATGAATAGAAAGTTAGAATTTGAGAATTCTTAGGAGAAGAGAAAGATCAAGCTTTTGGAATTTGTAGAATTTCATGTTAAGGAAGAAAAACAATTTTCTTGAAAATTCCCTCTTTTAATAAAATGTTATAAATTTGTCACATAAAATTATAAATACCAAAGGTAAAATTGGCCATTTTATTAGTATATAGTGAGAAAGAAAAAATGCCTTTTTCATACACCTTAAACACTGCTCCCATAAATAAGACTGGTGGTCAATATCCATCAGTTGATTTAATTTTTACATCTTTTTGTTGTATTTCCTACACACTGGGGTGCAATACATATTTTTCATAGAAAAGAAAAATTCATTTAAGTCTCTATTTTGCCTCTTTCTATACCAGACATTCTAAATGGTGGTAGATGTGCAAAAGGTATGGGGCAGTTTGGGGACACATTTTATGAGAAAATCACCTGAGAAATTTCCCAGACAACACGCAGAGACTGATGCCAAGAAAAGCAACCACATCATGAAAACAACACGTTCTGACAACTCAGAAGCAACAGTATGTGTAGTAGAAACAGACTGCATGCATTAGACTCCTGCTCTTAACGCTGGCTCACTCTGCGGCACTAGTCAAATCACTTAACTTTGTGACAAGTTTCCTCCTTTTAAGATGAGAACAGTAATAATAGAATCTCATGGGACTGTTGCAAGGATAAACAGTGAAATGATATGTGTGTGTCGACATATAGGAAACACTAGGCATTACTTTATTTTTGCTGTCAATCTGAAAGGAAGCAAACACCTTTATTTTACAGAAGGAGCAGCAAGTGGACCATTTTATTTTGCCCGCATTCAAGACAAATAGGGTGCTGCTTATTCTACAAGCTCTAATGTTCTTAGATGGAAGAGGAGGCTAAGAGAAAAGATCAGCTTGTTAGAAAAAAAGAAGCATTATGCTTATGTCTTATCAATGAAAAAATAGAATCCAGGCATTACTTTACTGTTTCTCCAGGCTCCATAACGGCCAATTCTTGATAACAACGCTTATCATGCCATGCTCTGTCTCTGTATCTGTGTGACTCTTTCATTTACCCGGGCACTCTTGAAGGCAGGAGCTATGTCCAAATTCTTTAAATGTCTAAGGTCTAATAATGTCTCATATGCAGAGATATTCAGTACATGTTGAATGAATTATGAATGAAGTTTAAAAATAAAGAAATAAGTGAACCCATGGATTGGCAGTATTCAGAGAAAGAAAGAGTGATATTCTTACAGAGTGGGTTTAATGCAATAAATGAAATGTAAATTCTTTCAGAAACTTCCTTCAAAACTTAAACCTACATCTTCAAATGATTTAGCAATCCACCTAATGTAATTAATTTAATTCAAAGGATTGCCCAATTATCTGTTTTATGCTTCAACTTGACAAAATAATGTCTCTTAAAGTGAGTGAGAGTAATATTGGTATTATTTCTTGACTGGAAAGTCATTTAATTTTTTTAAGAAAGAAAAGTAGAAAGCCTATCTTGATAAGAAATTTCATGTATTTATCATTGTGAAGTTTTATATTCATTTGAATTGGTTTCAGATTTTTTTATCTGAAGATTAAACAAATTAAAAAATTGTTTTAATTACATAAGATAAAGAAAATGTTTCTCCTTTTGAAATCCTAAAAATGTTTCAGAGTGAATATTATATTACTTCTGCTTTTCTTCCAAAATCAACTATTTATGGCAAGTTTTGGCATATCTTTTGGTGGTATGGTAAATGGTATATTTATAAGCTAGCAATCACACTGATTTGAGCTGAATAGTTGTTTTGTGATTTTAACCCTTTAATATATTTAGATAATTTCATTTCTGAGTAATAATATGGTACTTAATATATAAGTACTTCTTACCCTATTTGAGTCAATTCTTGCTCTGGAAGTATAGATGGGAGGTGGGATGTTGAAAGCTTGAGGGACCAGGTATTCCTCAGCATCCATCATATCTTCTAAATCCTCTTCATCCAAGAGATTCTGAAAGAACTTGCTGTCGTTTGGACTGGGAAGCTTCATACGATCATCACCCTAATGCATTGCCCATTGAAAACAGAAAAATTGATTCTTCTCTTTATCTTCAATATGTTGACTTTGCAGTACATTTACATAATATCAAAACAAATATTTGAAAATTCATGCACTCACTTAAAACATAATTCTTTAGCATAACTTCTAGCCCTAAAGAAGCCTGTAATATGCTCAGATATGACCATATCTTAATGCAAAAAGAATATGATAAATGCCATTAGAGATAAATAAAGCAGAATGCTTTGTTTTGAGGGAGGCAAATTCATTTCAGACCTGAGAATAATAGTAGGCTTCATTGCCAATACAGTATATGGGGTTTGACTTTAAGAATAAACAATAAAGGGAAGTTGATTGATCAATATTTATCTTTGGGGGGATTTGTGTGATAGCGGAGAGTTATCAGAATGGATGGGCTGTATGATTTGTCCTGTAGCAGAACACTCTTAAAGAGCAGAACACTCTTTGGAATGATAGCATTCCAAATCACAGCACAAGTGGCACACAGCATCAGTAGGAGTGGGACAGACACCCAAACCCTTGTTTTCCTCTTTCTCACCTTATCTTCATTAGTGACTATAGACATGAAGATAAATGCTACATATATATGTGAAATAGATGAGGTATATACATGATATATATATGTATCTAGCTTTTTTCTTTATTTCAGACTATAGATATGAAGATAAATACTATATTGTTTTACTAGGTGTAAGCCAAGGTGTATTTGTTTATGGTTTAGGTAAAAATCATTATAGAGAAATATGTTAAGATTTTTAAATTATCCAATCCATTTTTTCTACTTTTAAACATAAAATCTTCTTTTGGTCTGTTATTTCACTTATGCATATATCAATTCATTTGTATCTGAGTTATGCTTAGACACTGCATATCTCCCAAAACAAATCAAAACATTTAAAATACTATTTTTTATAAAATGAAATATCAATATATTAAAATTTTTAGTTCATTGTCTTCAACTGTAGAGAAGATTAAAATAAAAATCCATCTTCTTTTTGTTCTGAAAATGCAAGATTATAATAATGAACATGACTTCCATACAAGGCTAGTCTGAGGATAAAGGCTTTTTATTAATATGAATAATCATAATTACTAATAACAGAGGTACTTGAACACTAAGGGAAGGTGCTTAGAAATGTTCTGACATCAAGTAAAAGGCTCTTTTACATAAGTCATTTTACATGGTATCCTGCTTAGTTAATCTACTTCTGAGTGGTGATTTTCACAGTTTCAAAATCCAGACATTACTCATATTTTGTGGCGAGTTTGACACTGAGAAATTCTTAAAACTCCAAGTCAAATGTACTAACCTGAATAACTAAATATCTTTGAGGGTCTCGAGCCATCCTTGAGAATTCAGCAGCCAGTTCCTTAAATTTAGGTCTACTGTCAGCATCAATCATCCAACCTAGAAATTCACATGGAATGAGAGTCACCATAGTTATAATTAGGAAAAAAACTACATGTGAAATGTATGAAAAGATAGGTTAAAATATTGTTTTAATAATAATGATCTGAAAAGACAAAGGAAATTAATGACAGAAATGATCCAAGAGGCAAGGGTTCTGTCTCAGTTTGTTGACATTCATGACTAAGTGTAATACACTAGAATGACAGCATTGTTTTCTTATTGGCTTGATCTAATTTAAAATTAAATGTTCTTCTGAGAAAATATAACCTGGCCTAACTATATTAACTTACAGAATTTCAGAATATTTTTTTCTTAGGTATGGAGAGAATTCTCTTTTAAAACTTTGATGGTTATAAAAAAGATGATTAGAATTGAATTTATTATTTTGCATCAGGAGTGACATGGAATTAAAGCTTTGTTTACAATGTGGTACTCTGGCACAAGGAAGAAAAAGGATCGGAAGCAACTTTTTAGTGGTACTTTTTTCCTGCTGAGAGAAAATAATAATAAATGCAAAGTGATAGGTAATGTTTGTTCAGCAATTGCCATTAGCTTATTTTAGTACTAGCCTTTTCCAAATAAAAATATTTTCAGCAGTTTTCAAGGGTATATATTATTATTTAGCTGGGATTCTAGATGAAGTAGGTTTTTTCTACCTAGGCTCTTGTTAGCTAATGAGATGATAAGAATAAAAGCACCAAGCCTTCCTTGGTTTTCTTACCAAATGACTCTTTTCTTAAGTGTTAAAACTTTTAAAAGTAAGGAAAAACTCCCTGTTAGGGAAAATGTTTTCCTAGTCTTTCATTATTTCATCAGGGTATCTAAATGAAACATTTAAATCATCCCTTATGCTAGTTACAGGCTCAAATGATACAATGTATGCGTGTTTTTAAACATTCTTCCATAGATGACTACTAATCAATGCTTGATCCAATAAAGCTATAAAGCTCATTCATCTTTTCTCTAAGAGTTCAATTTTTATTCTTGTGTTGGGAAGTCTTCTGCTGTCATTTTATATATCGTTAATTACACTAGAATTTTTCCTCTCTTAACAAGGTTGAAATGCTTTATATTATACATGCATCCACTGAAAAATGTTTTTAAATGCTTCTGATATCAAGATGCTAATAAGAAGACAGGTGTTTCTGGAACTACTGGAACCAAAAAAAAAGGTTAACTTCACAGTGAGGAATCAGTTTCTTTCCAACTAAATATTGAGTAAATAGAACTATGCTTAGAGAAAAGGGCATGTTGACCTGAACTGGAAAGCACATTTTTTATTTCCTCCCTCACTGTCAGAATGTATTACACACGTCGTGAATATAAATCTGGGTAGACCTGGGTCCAAAGTCTCTTATCAATAAGATGCTTATTCACCTTCACCAGTTTGTTTCTTTGTTAATCCTGTGTAAATCGAAAGGGGAAAAACCCGGATTACACAAGAAAGAGCGCTGAATGTTAATCTCACTTAAATTAAGTCAGAAACTCCAGAGACTTTTCTAATTCTATTTAAATTAAGAGCCTAGGTTTCCAAAACATGTGTCTGGAGCATAAAAAAAGGAGAAAAAAAGGAAGAGTTAGATGTAAACAAATGATCAAATTGAAAAAAGTAAACATTCGTAATCTCTTTAGTTTAATATCGATTCATGTCTTCCTTACTTCCCACTGTGTCCTGCTAATTTACTGTTGACTAAAACCCTATTTCTATTTAATTCATTTTTTAGCTATCAGTTTCAAGCTTTCTTTCTTTATACATAGATCATTTATTTAGCCTGCTATTTCCCTCTAAAAATTAATAATATTATTATGACTAATTATATCTCTTTATGAAAGACAATTTGATTGCCATGGAAATGATAAGAATCAAGTGAAATGAATAAGAGTAAGCATAATATAATTTGACATCATAGCACAAGGGCATGATATTGCTTCATTAACAATAACAACAAAGGTGTTAACACGCTACTTACATAATTAGTTCTGAACTTCTATATTTTTCAATATACAGAAACATTGTGCAGACAGATTCATCTGTGCTACTTTACTAAGAATGATGATGTGATGATAAAAGTATTTCGCAATCTTACATTTGACCATGACCATGTAAACATCAATAGTGCAGATAGGAGGCTGAGGCAAACGTTCTCCTTTCTCCAGTAAGTCAGGGATTTCTCGAGTTGGAATTCCATCATAGGGTTTCCCTCCAAAGGTCATCAGTTCCCATATAGTGACTCCTACATTGGAAATCAAATTCTTACATAAGCATATTAAGAACATCATTTGAACCACTCAGTATACACCAGTGGCAAAGGAATGCTCCCTGAAGGGCAATCAAAAATAGTTTAAAGAAAGGCCCTTCTGATTTCTTTATTCACTTAGAGATGCTCAATGACAAAATCTTTGTGGGAAATTAAATTATATTATTATTGTTTTGGAATTTTTAATGGGTAGCAGATCCGATTCAGGGTGAATATCAAAATGAAAAGTCAATTCCCCATTTATACCTTATAAGTAATGCTAATGTTTGTGACACAAATTAAGTTTCACTACCTCACATTACAGGTTATAAAACAATTTATTTACTATATACATGTGTATACAGTACCATGTAAATAATTGCAGGTGAAATCCTATATTGACTAAATTCAAGATTAACGTTTTTGCTATTCAGAGCCATAAAGGCTAAGCTGTGCTTCCTGAATGATTATCTTGTGTTATGGTAAAAAATTGTAGCTCTCTTTTTAACCAACCCAAAGAACACAAGTGGAAGAAAAACATTTTCATTTATTTAGCACATATGAAAACCAGAGTGAGGAGTGATCCTTATGTAAGAAATAATACATATTGTAAAGCGGGGATCTCAAAATTGAAAGAAAATACACCAGTATACACCAGTGGCAAAGGAATGCTCCCTGAAGGGCAATAATCATTTTTTTCCCTTAGATAATGAAACACTTTCTTGAATGAATAGAACATTGGTGTTCTTAATAAAGCAAACACCTGAAATATTAACATGAAAGTTTGATAATAATTATTTTATTTTATTTTATTTTTAAGATTTTATTTATTTATTTTTAGAGAGAGTGGAAGGAACGGAGACAGAAAGGGAGAGAAACGTCAATGTGTGGTTACCTCTCATGTGCCCCCTACTGGGGACCTGGCCTGCAACTCAGGCATGTGCCCTGACTGGGAATCAAACCGGCAACCTTTTGCTTCTCAGTCCAGGGCCCAATCCACTGAGCCACACCAGCCAGGGCTGATAATAATTATTTTAATTTGAGCAATAATATACAAAATGTAGATCTCTTCTTTATTATGATCTAATAATTACATAATTAAGAAGATACAGTTTTCCTAAGGATAAAAAACTATAAGTTCAGAAACAGCTACCTGGACACAATAGTACTACCAAGTAAAGTTTCATTGATGTATATATTGTGGTAACTTTTAATGTAAAAATTATGAATTAGGGCTATGTTTTCTTTTCCACTGCCATCTTTGATAACTTATTGATTCAAACTGAAGTCTTTTTTAAGCTCATGACACTCATGTAAGTGAACAAAGGGGTTCTATGAAAAGTGATCTCATAGTGTGATCTATTCATAAATTCCTAACTGAGCACCGGAGTGTATAACTTCCCAGTACAAGTCTATCTTTGTCTTAAGCAAACCCTCTCCATTGATTTTATTCATCTAAATTAGCATACCTTTGAAATAAGCCATAACCACCTTCAAGCAAGTACATAATCTTATTTTTAGAGGTCATTCAAAATTTGTCTGGAGTAGATTGCCACATTAATTCAAGCAAACATAAGTGGAAAAAAATGACATAATGATAATATATTTGCCATAATAAATAACATATAAATGTATTTATATCATCTATATAAATTTATATCATGTATAAAGGTATATCACATATATTAATTTATCATACTAGGATGATGAATTAATTTTTACTTAATCTTTATGGAATCCTTAACAAATAAACTTGTAAAATTCCCTTGTAGGTGTCTAAACTTCAAACATACGATTTCTACTTTTAAGCCGAGTAGAATATATGAGGGCCTCATGGAAATTTTAACACCTCCTATGGCATACGTGTGGTGGGGAGACAACCATCTTATAGAAATATCTAATATTTTAAAGGTAATTCATGCTTTTCTACAAAAGAGGTGTAAGTTCTTTAGTGACTGAAAGGTTTAATTCTTTTTTTCTGAAAATTAAAAGATAAAAACTAAGCTTAAAATTGAGTAAATCTTACCATGTTTTAAGTTCTACCACTACCTTTTTATTTAAAAGGCAATGTGCTTTTAAGAAATGTTAGTTTTTATGGTGTATTTATACTCAGAAAAGGTGTTGATTCTTACTAATTAACCTGGATTAACCTGGATGAGCTTAAACTGTAAAAAATCCAACATACACTAAGGAGCTCAGCTCAACAATTCGGTTTAACACAATTAAATAAATTTTCTAAATTTAAAAGCCACTCTTTTCCATTTCATAGTATTTGCTCTGTAACGTATCCATTTACATTAAGAGTATTTGGGAAATTAAAATCAAAGCTGCAATTAGCAATCTCCTCTCTCATCTCTCCCCTCACCTTTGTTACTTCACTGAACTGCTCTCAGTAATCATTCTCTGTTATCACAATAGTCTCTATTGTCTTACTATAGAACAGGAATACCCATAACAAAAAACATCTTTTTTTAAACATTTACTGTTTTCAGAGTTATGTTTTCAAAGAGTTGTTAAAAGTTAAGGCCTTGAGATTCCATGAAATTGTACCAAACTGAAATTGGCTGGGTTTCTTCTCTCCTGTCAAAATGATCAAACCATTTGCTACCAACTAAGGGTTATGGTAGACAAACTCAACACCAAGGTGTTTATATGTCACACTCTAGAGAACCAGGAAATAACAAAAAAGGCAGGTAACAATACTGTTAGAGTTTTGTTTTTCCTAATGGAAGATGAAAGAGTTAATTCCTTTAGAAAGCAAGTCTTATAAATCGGTATTTGAAATACAGTGAAATAATTTGGCTTAAGATAATTTACATGAACGTAATATGTTTATTTTTGCCTTATATGCATTAATTCACAGGGAAGATTTACTTACCATAGCTCCAAACATCACTCTGATGGGTGAATTTCCTATAATGTATGCACTCCAGAGCCATCCATTTAATTGGCATCTACAGAGGAAAAAACATAAAAGTTTTATAATTATATAAAGTATTTTCTTCCTAAATGTGAGCCTTGCTTCAATTATATTTTTCATTGTGTGGATAGAAAATATAAATATGTTGTTTTTCAATACAGGGAACAAATAAACTGAAATTTATAAAATTCTTAAAATGAATTAACCTAAAGATATATATATATATTTAAAGATTTTATTTATTTATTTTTAGAGAAAGGGGAAGGGAGGGAGGAAGAGAGAGAAATGTCAATGTATAATTGCTTCTTGCACTGGGGACCCAGCCCACAACCCAGGCATGTGCCCTGACTGGGATCAAACCAATAACCCTTTGGTTTGCAGGCTGGCACTCAATCAACTGAGCTACACCAGCCATGTCAAGAAATATATTTATTTTTGAAAATCATCATAAACAGTGAAACATATGATAAAAAGTATCACTTCTTACAGTTCTCAATTTATGTAGTAATTAAATTACTAGTTAATATTGTTTTATAGTTCTAAATATCAACACAAGTACTTCTGAAAATGAGGTCATATTGTATTTTTCCTCCCAAATGAGATTCCTTGAATTCTCAGTTATCCCTTTTCACCCGCAGGCAAATGTCAGGTCACCAGAAAAATGACTTTTCACACTCACCCCTTTCCTTCTTCTCTTATATAATTTGGTCACTAAAACACCTAAAATAATGAGTTTCGAAGTTAGCCTTGCTTTGTTCCTCAGCCCCAAATGTTTTCTCTCACCTCGGTTAGTCAGTATTGAATATATGTACCATTTTCAATATAGGAATTATACAAAAGAATGTGTGAGAATCAGTACAAATCCATCATCACTACGGGAAAACAACTCAACTTACCTAGACTGCTGATGATGGGTCAGCAGAATGAGTTTTCAACTACGAAGAGCAGCATTGCATAGCTGGAAATATAATTAGATTCTACGGAATAAAGATAAACACTTCTACTTTGCGGTTGAAAGCTTAAAACTAAATAGGCCTTTGAAATCATGAGGTTGGCTGCTCACCAAGGTGATACCAAGGTAACTCTACAGCAGAATCATGGCATTCAGTGAAAGGGAACAGAAGACACATTGAAAATAATTTCCCTACAGGCAAGGAGTTAGCTGACTTTATGGACTACGGACATTGTGTTAAAGAAGTAAATTTAAATCACAGGTGGCTTGATAAAGACTTAATGGTTACTAGGCATTTAAAGCTATAATGAATCTTGCTTTAGACAAATCCTACAGCTGTACGTTCTCTAGACAAGTGAAGTCATGTGATTTATGGACTTCTCCTCCCATGCAATCTTGTAGTGAGTTTCAAAGCTATGGACTCAAACTGCTGCAATTGGGCAGTAAACAGGCAAAATAGGCTAATAAAATCAAGGAAAAGCCAGATAATATTCCAAAACTAAAGCTGTTCTTTTAAAAATAAATTTTGTGTTCTTATATCATGTGATATTTGAATATATATACAGTTATCTAAGAATTTAATATAAAATCAATGATAAGCATTTGGAAGGTTATCATTAGAAAATATTTATAATACATATTTGGATGGCCCATGATGAATAAAGCATATAATAAACTTTATTTATATAACTTACAAATAATGTTTTTTTTTTCTGTTGACATTAGCTGTGGGTCACCAGAGGTTAAGGCTGCATGTGTTTAATTCACTTGGCCTCTTCTGATCTAAGTGTCCCCAGGTCAAGCTGGGGAGACCTCCACATGAAGACTGTGCTGGTTGGTTGGCCAAGAATGGCAAGCTAGATGTGAGTTAATGGGAAAAACACGAGCTAAGGTCTGAATGTACGGTGGTTTAGAGGGGCAGACACGTGGTTGTCAGTCAGGGCCTGAGACTGGAGAGTCAGAAAAGTTAGGAGAAGCAGTGGCTGTTCATAACCCTGGGACATGGCAAGTTATGTTCCAGCAGAAAGAGTAATAAATAAATTGGTAAAATTATCAAAAACAGTGAAACATATAATAAAAAAGTATCACTTTGTATAGTTCTCAATTTATGTAGTAATTAAATGACTAGTTAATATTGTTTTGTAAATCTAAATTATCAACACGTGTACTTCTAAAAATGAGGTCGACTTATACACTATGATGAAAGCTAAAAGGAAAAGAGTCAGACAAGAGGAATCTTATAGGAGGGTTAAAGGAATCTGTTACAAAAGAATTAGGAGTTAAATACAATGGCTAATCCATCTATGGTTCTATGTAGAGACCAAGCTTCTCTCTAATCTATGAGAGAGAAATTGTAACCCTCAGTATGAGTCAGTCCTATGTTTTTAGGATCAATGGGACAATTTATGTAGGCCTGAATTAAAGTTTAATTTCTCGAGTCCTTAAGGATCCACCCACTTTCCAACACTCCGACACTGGACCTGACGTAAGGACCACAGGCATTGTTTCCTTTTAGCTTCTTTGCATTGTCTTTAGCTTCTTTGGCAATGTATTCTCGCTGTATATTTTTTACAGGAAGGAGAGAATGCAAAGGGTGGAACTGTGATTTTACAATCTCTTAAAACCTCAGGGTTATTGGCTTCTTCCTGTAAAATATGAAGAGATAAAAGGATACCCTACTAGGTTTACAAGCAATACTGCTCTCAAAAACATACTCACCTTTCCTCCATCAGCATTATACTCTTTTTCATCTCCTTCCAAGAGTCTAGCTAGTCCAAAATCCGTGATTTTCACATGGTTTGGAGATTTCACTAAGACATTACGTGCTGCCAAATCACGATGAACAAGCCGTCTTTCTTCCAGATACATCATTCCCTGAAAAACACCAGGTTCCCCAATGATAGTCAGTTAATGCCTACTCTTTTCCATCGACTGAAAGGGAGCTTCTTAGCATTCAGTTGAAAATGCTTAATTTCTGTAGGTGAAGCAGAATCCTGGAATAGTTTCAGAACTAGAGAATACCTGGGATAAAAAAGCAAAAAAAAAAGCTTTTGGCCTTGTCTCCCTGAATTCCTATGAAGAATAATAAATCACCTGCACATGAGCTAAATGTTAGATCGTTTTTTTCCCAGAGACTTGATATTTTTTTTGCTAATACTTTCATTATTGAGGTGTGCAGGTGTCTTAGAAGATAAGCTAACATATATTTGGACTCATCCACATATTCCTAATTGTTTTCTTCTCAATAACTCCTGTGTCATGTCAATTTCCCTTTACAACCCACTCCAAACAAATATACTTATCCTTAATTTTAATGGGTATTTCATATAAAGATGTAATGGGGCCAAAATCACCATCATAGATTCTATCAAGGCTGAAGAATTATATTATTTTTATTAGTTATGCAAAAGTGAAGTATACCTTAGAGTTATTAAAAGCCTATAACTTAAAAAATGCTTCAATGACATTAGTAGACATTGTAAGAACATACAAGTAAAACTACATAGTTTTTAATGATCCTCAAACTAGCTTTTAATATGTTGTCTTCATAAAACATATAGGGTAATTAAAAATAAATGTATTGCTGATTGTCAACAAGAGATATAGGTGGCTCTCTGTGTAATATATACATACATGCATGTATACATGTGTATGAGTATATATGCACATGCATACATGTATGTATATACTCTATGTGTGTTATCTGTGTGTATTACAGATAACACATTAGTATCTACACAGATTTTCAAAATGTCACAGAAGCCATAATTATGAATTGTTACCTCAGCAGTAAGGAAACTAAGAGTCATTAAACACTAGCCTTAACTAAAAGGCTGATATCAGACAAAGGACCTGAATGCAGAGGCCTGGAGTGAATATATTTTGTTTAAATAAACATATGTTTGTTAAAGAGTTGGGGGGAGATTCTTTATTTGAGTATTCCAGCGGTAAAAAAAAAAGTTGTCCTTCAACAGCAAATCGCAATTATTATAAATGGTTAAAGTATACTCTCATGCCAATTGAAAATCAATGCTGTTGGCAGTTAACATTTCAACTGCAGGACTTTGAAGGATTAATGGTTTCTGATATCAAAACAAAAGCTGTGGAAAACAGACACATAAATCACACAGGTCAAAAAATTATGAACCGTATACCCAGTGTAGTGTAAAGAGAAGATTGCTTCAAACAGCATCAGGAGCCAAACTCTATATAAATGTCCATTAAGCACAACGAGCGGAGATAGTGCCTGATAGAGTCCAATCAGTCAGCAGCTGGATGACACCACATGTATTAGTGTTTTCTGAAGTCAACCCACGACTGGGATTTATGGGGGCTTTGCCCTCTTTCCTGAATGGTGCTTTCTATTTGATTATATTAAATTGGAAATGGTTAGAATAAAGTGAATCTGAAAACGTATAGCCCTTAGGTAACTTGAAGGATCAAAAAAAAAAAAACCCCAAACATATTGCCTAAGTGATAAAGCATCATCATTAATTTTGTCATTCCGAGAAATGTCACAATAACATTCATTATTCTCTTTCTTACCACCTCCATATCAGAATACGGAAAGCATGTTGACAAGTTAATATTCAGATCCACACACAATCACAGAACACAAATACTATGTGCATAGCATGGTGCTAGACACCAGAGAGAGAGAAAAAATGTCTAAATCTATGCATTAAAGGGGGCAGAGTTAAATTAATAAAGTTTACAGATTGGGAATACAAACTGAAGTCAATCAGCCTGATACATATAAAGCACTTAAGCAGAGCTGTATCTTGAGGATCGTTTGTAGTACAGCTTAGCAATCCTGAGTGAGAGGGAGGCTTCAGAGAGATACTGAGTCCTAAGTAAGGTTCGCATAATACCCCCCAATTGGACAAGATGAGGGAAAAACTTCAGATAGAGAGAACAAGTACAGGGTCATCAAAACATGACATACTAGAACAAAATCATGCAATTCTGTATTTCTGAAGAATAATGTATAAGGGAAAGGGAGCAGTGAGTGGTCAAACGGAAAAATTAAGAAGAGGATAGGTCTAAGAATGATCCCTTCCATGTCATGGTAGAAAACTGGGCCTTGCCTTTTCTGCATCATTCAATGTGGTGATGCGGAGATTGTTTTAAAAGAAAGTGAGAAAATTATTTTTGGTGTCTTGGTGCTGCATAGGGGATGTATTGGACACAAATGTAGCTGAAGTCAGGAGCCACTGCCACAGTCCAGAAAAAAAAAAAGAGATGAGAATGTAAAATAAAAGTTGCCTATTAGCAGTCAATGAGCTACATCCATCTTGCATATACATATATGCAAATATATGTATATATTCCCACACCAAACAAGTTCCAAACATCCTCTTTAGCTGTTCCATGTACGCCATTGAGAGCATCTGGTCTTCAGTGTCAGGATCCCATCATCCTACTAGCATCCTTTATGATACCCATCCCACCCCTCCATCCATGGGTGTCTAAATTTGATGAGGTCCATACTGATTAAATCCCATTTTACATATGAGAAATATGAAGCTAAGTGAGGGCCATGTACGTGTTCCAAATCATCTATCTAATGAGCAGCAGAATGTGGGTTTGGCCCCTTGCCGTGGAAACATCAGTTTGCACACTTATGCCTCCCTCCTCTCTTGATGGGTCACAGGGTCACGTGGGCCTATAGCAATGTGAACAGTGGAGTCAGATACTTTTAGAATATTGTACTACTTTTGCAGAAAAAAATATTATTAGATGTTTCTGTGAGTTTTAGGGCATAGTTCAGGAGATTGAGTTGTTTGTATCTGTACTTAAAATACAGCTAAGTTATACAACCTTTTATAATGTAGCAGGAATTTGAACTGTGTACACTGGAAACTCAGTTCTTGGTTTGGCCCCAGAGTGTGCAGGATAGTGTAGTGGGTTTGAGTGCTGACTCGGGAGTCAATTGCTTGAATCAAATGTCAGCTCTGCCATGTTCCAGCTGTGTGGCTGTGGCAAGTTAATTAAAATCTCCATCACTCACCTTCCTTCTCTCTGAAACAACCTACTAGTACCTATCTCACAGGTTGTTGTGAAGATTAAATAGATTAATATAGTAAAGCACTTCAATAGTAACTGGCATGTAGTAACTATGGAACAAGCATGTTGTTATTATTGTTCTGTACATAGATGTAAATAATCCTAATGAATACATGAATCACTTACCCTTATTAACTTGAATTGTTTGTTTCATTTTTCCCAACTTTATTATTTTTTTCTGTACTATTTTTAAAAATTTTCTTTTAAAAAATTGTACATTGTTCAAGTACAATTTTCTGTCCTTGACTCCCATCCCAGTGCACCCTCCCATCCCTCCCCACCTCCCTCCCATTTCCACCCCCACTAGTTTTTGTCCATGTGTCCTTTATATTTGTTCCTGTAAACCCTTCCCATTCTCCCCTGAAATTCCCCTGGAATTCCCCTGAAATTCCCTCCACTCTCTTTCAGCAAAAATGTAAACCTCAACGTATCACAGTAGGTATTCAATAAATGTTTGCAAATGGTGATACATATACTGATAACATACTCATTATTATTAACACATAGATTGAAATTTTAGAATCCTAACTATTCAAAGTGTTACTTTAATAATGATTCACCTGAGGACACAGTCCTCATCTAAGGGGAAGAAAAATTTAAGGACTCTATTAAAAGAGGTAATGCCCTCTATAAATACATCACAAATTCAGGCATTTACTGAAAATAAAGTTCATGAACAAGATAGGTCAAAAAGTTTTCAATAGTAGAGAATGTTTCTCAAAGGTAAGTAAAATAGTAGATCTGTTGTACCAAAGTATCTGCCTTTTATTATTCAGCACCAAGGGTAGTTTTGGGTAGATGTGTTTTAGGGACACATTGTCTATTTCTTCATCTAGGCACTACAAGTCTGTTTTATACAAATCTACCACTACCCACACCATTCAGAATTTTACTATTTTTCACACTTGTTCTGTTTGCTATAATCAGTTTTCAAAGAAAGCATACTTGTTTTGTTTTGCTCACATCTCCTAAAATGTGCATCAGTAAACACAAACCAGCTAGGGAAAGTCAAATTTCACTCTTGACTTTCAGAAATGCACTTTAACACAAAATCCAAGAATGGTTTTATTATAATTGAATTTAAAGTTTTAATCTCTGGTAAGAATTGACTCATATTAACTGCTCTATTAAAAAAATCAGTGACTCAATTTTAAAATATCGATATTATAGAACACCTAGCAATGACTTTCTTTTCCATTTTATGATATTTGAGTCAGAGCTGTCTAGCAAAACTGCATTATTATTGTTTTAATTCAATGTGAAAATGTATTTCTGCCCAGCTGCAGGAAGCTAACGGAAGTCAAAAGAGACCAGACTATTTCTGATAATAAATATTTGCTTCCTATATATAGGCCATGTGACAGTTTCATCAAACGTGTGGAGCTAAAAATTTCAAGCTGCAGTCAACTCTCACAGGCATTAATCTCTGGAGTTAGCAAGAGTACATTTCCTTTCTGTTTTCATTCTAATAACCTGAAGCTTTCTTAATAACAGGAAGCTTCAGAAAAGCCTGCTTCAAATGGAAATCATTGCTCTTTTCTACTTTCCCTTCTAAAAGCATTTCTATCCCTAAGAAAAATACCCAACCACAATGCTCTCTGCTAGGGTTCTCTTATTACCGCTAACGATGTGAGCATGTTCAAGGAAAGAAAGGGATATCTCTAAATGAGTTAGCTGGCTTTATCCAAATAGTGAATGAATGGTAACTGAGGGGGGCCCATAATTGAATCAACCAAGAAGTCTTTCAATCAGCATAAACTGATTCGAGAAGGGGAGAAAACCAGAACTGAGAGCTGCAAGAAAGAAGT